GCTACGTATATTCCGATAATCTTAGTGAGATTCCTCACATTTTGAGCCCACAATTAACACGATAGATAGTATAAAAAATGACGTCAGTATAGAAGATCAAAAAATCAGTTTAACATTGGTTTAAATGGAAGGTTTGAAAACAAAAACGTGAATATTTCGCAAAATAAATGCGACAAAGCGGGCCCTTTTCACGTGAACGTACGCAATTTTCTAACAGTATTGAAGTTACAACCGATGTTGTTCAATTTCAGATTTTTTTTCCACCGCCAAACATCTAAAACCTCAAATCTCCTCGTTTCTCCCAATTACCCCCACTTTCCTCCATCTCCCAGGAATTTTGATTGAGGGTAATTGACGATTAATCGCGTATGTAGATTCACTTTGGGGTTGAAGAGACGCCTCGAAAAAAAAACCTGAAAAAAGGGTCTGGCAACCCTTCTGGTCATCGCACGGTAATTTTACATGGCAGGGGGGGTCCCTCACCCACTTGGCGAAAGGGAGAATCATGTGGGAGGGATGGGAGGGGGCGTAGATCAAGAAACATGAATGAAGCGGAATGCGTGCTGGCTATCGCACGGCCTGTGTCAGCATTTCGTGACCTCGCCCCGAGGGTTCTCAACCGTCATAGCCCCCCGTCCACCCTTCGACGGGGATGACACGCGATTTAACTCTTTTACCTCAACCCCCCGCTGGAAACTCTTGTATGAAATTATTTTCCTCCTTCACGCGTGGAGAGCAAAAAATCGTTGCGGAGGTTTATGCGAAACCGCGAGCACTCAAAATATTCTTGTTTTTTTTACTGAGAGAAAAATTTATTCCCTTCATTTTCATAATTATTTTAATCCAGAGTTTTGCAGAAAAACTTGGAGTTTTATGACGGGAAAAAATTTAATTTTCGAATGGAAGAGCGAGTTTAATGAACCTTGCGCAATTATTTAATTATTTAATTACTAGAGAACGGGCGCTTTGCACCTGTCGCTAAATTAGTTTATGCTATATTATTTTATTTTATTTTTTTCGCCTTTTCCGTCTTCAGGATTAGATTAAGTTATTTCGATTTATTCTTATTCTTAATTTATATATTTTTGGCAATTGTAAAACTGAACCTTTTACAGCCCTACCGACGAAGAACCCTATCAAATATCTTTTCGAATAATAGAAGAATACCCATCAATTCGACTCCTATCCTTGCTTTTCGATAGAATAAATAGAATAAATGACAAAAATTAAGAATTGAAAATTAAAAATTATGTAATTTAATTATTATTTAATTTCTTTTTAACTACATTAGAGAAGAAAAATATTTTCAAACTAGACCTGTTTGAGCCCAAAAAGCACAAGTTACAGTGAAAGAATAAATTACCTCTGCGGGAAAATTTTCTTTCACGAAAATTAAATTTTTGTCGTGATCATCAGAAATATTCCTAGAAGAATTCGAGCTGTGGACAGAAAAAAATATAATTTATTGTACGACAATCATTTGATCTCATAGAACTCCAGAGGTTTAGACCACAGAAAAAATCCATTGACGAGGAAAAAATATTTTTTTCGCAAAAAAAATTGTCCCCTCGAAATGATTCAGTTCTGCCAACAATTCAATACGACAAAAATTTCCGGGATTTGGCACGAAAAATTCAGACGAAAATTTTTAACAGTGTAGTCTACTCCGAGCTTCAAACAATTTCCAACAGTTATTCACAATGTATGTAATTACCCATTCATTTTTTAAAATGCCCTCACACAATTTCATCGACAAATTTTCTGACTAAAAATCTCAAAATCTGAATAATGTCCCCCGTAAAAAGCCAAAAGACACATGGATATTCTCAAACTTTTTGAGCGCGTTATTTATGTGAAATAGGAGGGAAATGATGAGGGGGTGCGATGCAGGAGGACATGGGGTAGCTTCAGTGGCCCGAAGGAGTTGCCAAGCGGTTTCCTCCCCCTGCACTCTCGGCCTTATCTCGGCACTTGCACTCGTACGAGCCTCGGGTACTTTCTTGAGTCAATCGATTCGCTTTTAGTTCCCTCTTCTCGGGGCACAGTGTAACGCACCCCCTCCCCCTCTCCCCCCTCCCCCTACCCGCTCCCCTACCTCTCATTACCAACGGGAATATGCAAATGGGGGCACACGACTGAGACGTTCAAGTGGAACGACGACGCTCTACGCAAGGTGTAAACAGTGGAGGTTTTTTAGAATGAGGGAAAAAAACGTCTCGGGTCTGTCAGAGGAGACTGTGAGAGCCCCTGTCCGAGCGTGTTAATGAATGATATATTTTTTTTTTTCATTCAACCGCGCCCTGACCCACATTTACAACACTGGAGACTCGTGGAACGCACGAGAGTCCCCCCTCCTCCCCTCCATCGGGCCACCCACATGCTTGACTGTTCGCACATTTTCCTAGTCAATGCCACTGACGATTTAGAATTTTCATGTCCTTCTTTTCCTGAATTTTTCCCTTTTATATCACTTCAGTAGCGAAGTGGTAAACAGTACTAGTCAATTTTGACTATTGGCCAGTTTTCAATGAATATCTTGGAATCTAAAGAAGGTAGCACAATTTTTGTTATGACCTTTTTTGTAGAGCTGATTGAGAGCTACAACAAATGTGATTACGAAAATTTCGATATTTCTATTAGATCCGGAAATATTCTTCAAAAACTCAACTGGGAGATGAGTCGACTTGAACCGCTTTACCACTTCGCTACTGATTTGATTTTTTGTTTTTTTAATAATATTGACATTGTTTAATAATTTTTATACCTTAGGATACATCTAGGTCTTCCTCGCTGCCCATGTGCTTATTCAATTTAATTAATTATTGAAAAAAATCATCAAGAAACAAAAAATTGAATTATAAATCTAAATGCATTGTTAATTTTCTATTTTGCTGATTTGGATGACACGATTACTATTTATTTTTTGTAATATATTCTTGTGGCCTAGTAGCAGAACATAAGGAGATTGCATAGAATAGAATTGGCCCGCACGTTCAAATAAAAAAAGAGTAGGAGATTTACAGTAAATGACGCAATTAAAAAAATTGGAAATTTCAATCTCTTTCTTTTCCGTTTTTTTACCTTTTACATTATTTACTTTTAATTTTCAATTCTATATGATATTTAAGTTGTTCAATAATTTCAACATCTGTCCACATCTCCCTAGCTGCCTTTTGTCCTATTTGATTTCACTAATTATTATTGAAACAATTGATTAGAAACCCAAAAATTGTATTACAAATCTAAATTTATTTTTAATTTTTAATTTTGTTGACTCGGGTGATGCAACCATTATTTATTTATTATAATGCACTTCTGCGACATAGTTACAGTATATAACGGGTTACATAAGCTAGAATTGGCCCGTAAATTCAAGTAAAAGGATGAGAAATTTACTATAAACGACGCAATTATCCTTCACCGACTTTTTTCATTTTATATCATTTACTTTTGATTTTGATTTTTTCAATGACTTTTCAATTATTCAATAATTTCAATTCGTGCTGTCCATTTTCTTATTCAATTTCCCTAATTATTAAAACATTTTCTAAAATTGCAATACCAATTGAAATTTATTTTCAACTTTCAATCTTTTAAATGCAAATCATAAAATTATAATTTATTTATTATAATGCATTCTGGCGACACAGTCGCAGTACATAACAAGATTGCATAATACAAAATTGAGTTCAAGTAAAAGAGCGAGTGATTTTACAATCTTCCTCAATTTTCCTTTTCTCAGAATCATTATATTTTCCTTGAGATGAGAACAAGCGAAGTGTTTATCAATTTATAGTCCTGACAATCCAGAATTTTTATCTCCCCATTTGTTTTTCTATTTTATTTTTTATTTTTTTGAAGACGAGAGCACCTAAATTATTTATTAATTTAATTCGTTTTTTTTGTACTGGTGAAGAGGGCGAGAAGTTGGACGGTTGGAGGGAGAACTTAAGCCACCAAACAGGGTCGTTATAATAACGATAATGCGTTAGCGAGTGCCAAGCCCTCCCCCACTCTCGTTTCTCGTTGTTGCCCTCGGACGACAAACGCATACGTCAAATTAACGACTGCGGTGGAAACTCAACTAGGATTTCATTATATACCGAATAGTCGAGTGTATTTGAGTCGGCAGTGGTCGAGACGCACGATGCCAACCGACAGGTCGTTATACCCCTCGTGTTTTTTTTTTTTACAAAATCTCGTAAATTTCTTTTTATCACCCGAAAAAGGGGGAATTTTGTTCAGCTGTTTTTTTTTCCAGATTTATTGAATTGAGGGGGAAGATTAAAAATATAAACACATCTCGGGAATTTTACGCCAAAAATTAATGCTTTGCGATTCATTAAGTTCTGGAGAATAACAGAATTATCATAAAACATCGGATTCGGGGAGAAAAGTAATGAGACGCAGTGCAGCTATTTTGGTTTTATTTCAGGGTAGAATGGAGCATTTTTAGTCGGCAATAACTTGGGATCTGCAGAGTGAAAATCAACATTTTTTTTTTCATTTTGAAGATTTTTTTAGTTTCTTCAAAATGAATTTTGACTCGTCAAAATTGCTTCGTTCGGTTACGAGATATTGACGATTCAAGAATACCTATTTTACTTCATCTACCACACAGAAAAAAAAGTTTTGATTTTCAGGGACATGTCATTAATTTTTAGGGATTTATCAATAATTATTGGTGATACTGGACTCCGGCTAGAAGGATCCTGATTATCAGTGATTTTTATCAGTAAAATTTGGTGACGGATTCCTGAAAATCAGTGAAATTATTCTGAAAATAAGTGATGGTTTCTGAATTTCACAATCGCGAATTCCTAAAATTGAGGATAAATGCCTGAAAATTAGTGACACATCAATCAACAATTAGAGATGAGTGCCTGAAAATCAGTGACATTATTCTAAAAATTGGTGACGATGTCACTGAAAATTGATGACAAAATCGCAGAATGAATTCCTGAATAAATTCCTGAAAATTAAATGAAATGTGTTTTCAGTGAGTGGGAGAACGGGTACCGGTGGTGCACCATTGTACGGACGTCTTGTAGCCGAGGAGCCAGCAGTATGTGGTACAGGTGCTGGGGGTGTACCCCAGGAAACCCCAGCGGATATTCACGCTATGCAGGCGAGGATACCCCACAGGTTTCGGGATCCAGCGACTGCTCCCCTACGAAAGCTCAGTGTTGACCTCATAAAGACCTACAAGCACATCAACGAGGTGAGAAAACATTTCACTAGTCTTGAAGTTTCGTGGATGAACCGTCGAGCGATTCACGGGACATGCAAATAGAATTCCCAAATTTTTTAGCAGCAGGGGGACGAGAATTCCCCAATAACACTCGAAACATGAGTGAATTAATTTGTTTTTTCATCATTTCATGATTTCTCTATCATTTTTACTGCTCACTATCCCCTTTTTACTAAATTCTCATTAAACTTCTTTAGTTTAACTCAAAAAATTATATTTTGGGTCAGGAAAACTGATGAAATTTACTCAAACATTTCACAATCCTCATGGACAGTAAAATTTCAGTAAAATTTTAAATTTTACTGAAAATGAACTAGAATTCCCAAATTTTTTAGCAACAGGAAGACGAGAATTACCTAACAATACTCGAAACATCAGTGAATTTATTTATTTTTTAATCATTTCATGATTTCTCTATAATTTTTACCGCTGACTTATCCTCTTTTTACTAAATTTTCATTAAACTTCTTTTATTTAACTCAAAAATTTATATTTTGGGTCAGGAAAACCGAAATAATACTCGAAACACAAGTGAATAATGTCAACTGAAGACGTTCTGAATTCAAGAAACAACATTTCCACAAAGTAATCGAAAATGTCGGTTAAACTGAGCACAGTTAACCTCGGTTTGAGCAATAATTGCTGAGAATTATCAACTTTCTCTTTGGATCTTCAATCTCTTTTTTTCTCATTAGGATCTATTTATTACGAGAGTTCTGAAATTTAGAGATTTTTACTGAAAATAAGAATTTATTCTGTAGGAGTGAACGGGGTAAAATGAGATGACGAGACTATTCTATTTTCTATTCCATTTTACCCCGTCCTCCCCTATAATTGTGGATAATACAAAACGTGAGTTCATTGATTATTGAAGGATTATCCAATGAACTATTTTTATTCATTATTTCATGACTTCTCCATACTTTTACTAAATTTTCATTACGCGCAGAGAAATATTCAACAAAAATTACGTATCTTTTCCATAATTCCGGAGCGCAATGTGGTTGATAGGATATTTTACGGAATTATCACGGAATTTTTCCAGAGCATTCCGTAATTTTTACCTGAATCTCCTGTGAAAAATTACTATACCATCACTTAAATTTTCTGAGTCGATTCCGTAATCGGTGAGCGAACTGTGAGGTCCGTAATTTTTACTAAATATTTCTCTCCGTGTAAACTTCTTTGGTTTCCCTCAAACATTCCTATATTGGATGAGGAAAACCCGATTAAATGTACTCAATCCTCATTCACAATCCTCACAAAATTTCGGTAATCGTGTGCACACGATGAAACACATCCCCCAGTGCTTGAGGGTTGTCATTCCCTTTTTTTTTTTGTGGTTAAACGGCTCGTCATGCCAATGGCCCTGGGGAGACGTGGGTGGGCTGCTGAAGTATATGTAGGGGGTGAGAGAGTGTTAAAAAAAAACCTGTGGGGTGACTTGTTGGCGCACGACTCTTCTGTGCTTGAGTTCGCTCATCCGTTGAGTCGTTATGCTCGTTCTCGAATGTCCAGCACCTCCAGACATCCCCGAAATGATTTTTTTTTCAACATCTCCACGCGCCAACGACAGCAGAACACTCGAATTGTCATAACAGGGGACTTCTCAGTATGAGGAGAAGAATAAAAAGAACATATTTTTGCATTTTATTCACCTTAACGCTTCGCTCCAATGTCTGAGTCTCATTTTCATTCAGCGAAAATGGGGAAAAAATGTAATTTGAACGTGGGTTTCAGTTGACTCATGTTAAACTCGGGAACAATGAGCAATAAAAATGTGAATAACTGAGAGAGGCCAGTGAATCATGCGTTTCTGGGTATTTCCACTCGATCAAATCGATGAGGTATAGGTGGAGGAAAATCGTTTGTGGCTTTTTCGGGAAAATTTATTATTCTTTGGGCTATTCGTCTTCTACGGAAATTCAATCAACTCTAGACTCGAAGGAGTGGGACATTAATATTGTTTATTACACAAAGTATTTCATATTTTCATTCATTAATTAATCACGGAAAAATTGGCTTTAGATTATTTCAATGAAATTCATCAGCAGGAAAAGTAAAATTTGAATAGAATCAAATTTCACGTGTCCAGCTAACATAACTCTATTCTTATTTTTTTATTAGATTTTATGAGTTCTCGATATTTTCCATTTATTTGTTAAAAATGGAGATCTATGGATGACGATAAATCCTTTCTAGCTTTTCCGTGAAAATTTATTATTCATTCGGTTATTAGTTTTCCCCAGAAATTCAATCAACTCTCACTCGAAAAAGTTGGACATTAATATCGCTTATCACACGATATTCCAATATTTTTATTCATTTAGATTATTTGAATTCAGATTATTCGAATAAAATTCATCGACAGGTCAAGTAGAATCTGAGTAGAACCAAATTCCCGTCAACATAATTCCATTACTATTTTTTAATTAAACTTTATGAGTCCTCCATATTTTTTATTCGCTAGTTAAAAATGGGGAATGCCCTACAGAGAAAAAGATGGAGAGAAATCATTTGTGGTTTTTTCGCGAAAATTTATTATTCATTCGGGTATTAGTTTTCCCCAGAAATTCAATCAACTCTCACTCGAAGGAGTTGGACATTAATATCGCTTATCACACGATATTTCAATATTTTTATTCATTTAGATTATTTGAATTCAGATTATTCGAATAAAATTCATCGACAGGTCAAGTAGAATCTGAGTAGAACCAAATTCCCGTCAACATAATTCCATTACTATTTTTTAATTAAACTTTATGAGTCCTCCATATTTTTTATTCGCTAGTTAAAAATGGGGAATGCCCTACAGAGAAAAAGATGGAGAGAAATCATTTGTAGTTTTTTCGCGAAAATTTATTATTCATTCGGTTATTAGTTTTCCCCAGAAATTCAATCAACTCCCACTCGAAGGAGTCGGATATTAATATTGTTTATTATCGTGAAGATACCAGATTGGTCAGATCATGGGGGAATAATGGTGGTACGATGGCAGGAGGGTAGTGGTTGAACCGAGTGAGAAAGAAATATAGTCGGGAAGTTATGATGGCGAGAGGGGAGGTCGGATTGGCGCCACCCGACGAATAAGCGACACACGTACCAGACTACTGGCACAGTGGTGAGGGCGTCACGCGAACTAAATTATCCGCGACGACGAAAACCAGTGATACAACGCTGCATTTCTCCCACAATTTCACTTACACCAATTTTTTCCCTGTAAAAATTAAATTCAACCAGTTGAATACGTAATGCCAAGGGGAAAGTATCTTAAACGAAAATTCTTACGGTTATATACCAAGACAATCGGACCCAAATTTTAGTCCCTATGGATTTCCGGAAAACATTCTAAACAAAATTAATTTATTGCATTCTCATAAGTTCATTGTTAGAAAAAAAAATGAAATTTTATGGACAGTTGACTACTAATTTTCGGGGGAAAAAATCATGAAATTTCAGGTTTCACTGGAAAGTCCGTAAAATTCCAGAATTTTAAGCAGCATAAAGACGAGAATTCCTTAATTTATTTGAATTTCCATTCTAATATGAACAATCAGTGCCAAATTACATTGAATTCGCAGTGAATTCTCCGAGATCTTTAATTTCATGAGTTTTTTCCCCTAAATCGCATTCAGTGTCACTGTCCTTCAAATTCAAGAATATATTTACCGGAATTTTATGGTTTTCTATTAATTTTCCAGGAAAAATGGATCTGAAATTTACAGTTTTCTTTCATTTTTCCACGAAATTCTAAATTTTCAATTACGAAATTCCTTGAAATTTCAATGGTAACTGAATTCGATAAAAATTTCCAAAAAGTGTATCCCAAATGTCAGATTGTCAGAAATGTTTGAATCAAAAAGAAATTATCTGTTAATTAATTTCAATAAAATAAGGAATGCTTTCACGAAATTTCCATTTTTTAGAGTTGAATATTGCAGAAACTATGTTGTACAAAATTTCACAAAATTCACCGCATTCGGAATTATGTCAGGAGAAATTTTTTCAGATGAGGAAATTCTGCACAAAAAATTTTCATAACCCATCAGCTCAAAATCATTTTTTCCCCAGAATGTCCTCATCTAAAAAAAATGTCTTGCCATTTCTCTATAGAATCATTTCATTAGCCAAATGATATAGAAAGTACCGACTCGATTCGGCTTCCACTTGAATTCTCAAGCAATATTTACAAAAAAAAATCACCCACTAAATTTTGCTATTCCTCACAGATCCCCTGATATTTCTTGAGCAGTCAATTGAGCGCCAAGTTGACTAGTTACCCTTTACCACTGCATTCACTTGACCAGTCCAGCATTCGAAAGCATTTTCCTCACATTTTTTCCCCATCCCACTCCTACTTATGTCCACCTCGCGGTTGCACTCATACTTCCTCCTAAAAAAGGCATTCTAATTTCTCGTTAATTTCTGTCAATTTCTCGTCCACCCAATATTCTCCACTCCGGAAATTTCCCGGGGAAAATATAAGTGGAAGAGAATAACTTGCATTAATTACTATCTAAAATATCATCTTACGATGTAATGAATTCCCTCAAAGATTGTTTCAATAATCGAAACCAGATGTTTTCCCTCATTCCCCTCTTATTTATCTCCATTTCTTGCCGGCCATCGCGGTCTCGTCCCGCCGAAGAGACAGGGGTAAGGACCCCGAGTCGAGTCTGAATCGTAACGATAACTGCGTCGCGATTAAACGACTTGGGATATCCCGAAGGTTTCTTCCAACGAAGAGACAGACGAAGAGAGAAAGATCCCGAGATATCGTATCGTCGGTACAGCCATTATTCTTTGCCTCCGAGGCACGCGAAAACCGTTTTCTCATTTCTTTCCTCAAGTGCACACACTAGGTAACTCCCTTCCTCTTTTCTCTCCTTCTCCTCCCCTCCCCCTCTCCCTCCCCCGCCCTCTACACCCCAGCCGGACTCTAGGATTTCTCGTTTCTCTCGTTTCCTTTA